ATGACACTCCGAAAGTAGGCAAAACAAGCCTAGTAACTAGATCGACTTAGGGGATAAACTAATGCGATCAAGACAACATTTCAGTCTGTCTTTGTATAAGTTGTCCAATCTTCTACAACGATGGTATCAGTTTGTCCGTCAATCGCCGGATCCTTGTACTCTATATAACTTTCTATTACTTCATATTCGCGCAACAGGAGACTTCGCAAATATTTGATGGCCATGTCCACAAGCCCATCCATGAGTGTTTTGAGTGATGGTTGCTCCATGATCCTCCTTCGAAATTCTTGTCGTCGTCGTTCATCGATGTTGTCTGCATTGGAAGCACTTGCACTTGCAGAATAGTCATTATAAATAAGGAAAGATACTTTGCACCAACCTCGAACAGTTGCCGCTGCACAAAACAAGGTCATCACGTTGAAATTGTTGTGGCAGAATTTGACTGTTGAATAATACAATTCCGAAAAGGGTGAGAGCACTTCTCGCGGGTATGTTCTCGTTCCACAACACCTCTGACCACAAATATACAGTGACTCTCGAGGAGAATGTTCCCAGTCTTCCGGTGGGGCATCCACACCTCTAACACTGAGTACTGCACTGTCAAAGATCACTTCGGATGTGAAGAAAACTGGACACATATCATGCCATATATTTTTTCCCCACACCATGTTACTTGGCGACCATCCAGTCGTCACAAATGGTTGAACCATTCTACAACACATGAAAATACAGTTTAAATATATATAAATGAAAGCTCAATGACAACTAAATAACGTACTAATACGTGTAAAGAAAAACGATTAGCTCTTCTTCAAAACCTATTGAAAACCTACTGATCTTCATTATCGGGAAGTGAAAGGCATRCCAAGGYCTTCTCTCTGRCYGATTTTGGAATGTGCACTCCATTTTYTAAATGCAATGTCTTTGATGTCCAGCTCCACACAACACAGTCTACATGCTGCCACTGCTGTGATGTTGTGTTGTCTTTCTTCCACGTCTTCTTCCATGCGTTCGAATATTGCACCGAAAGACGTTTAGCAATAGGTTGTGGCACCCAATATTCAATCAGAATATGATTGAAAGTTGACGACTTCATATCGTTGTCTACATCGGAAATGACTCTACCCATCCATACAGGAACTCCCTCATCGATATCATCTTGGGAAGGACGCAAGAGAAAGAATTGACATTTTTCGACATCCACAACTGGGTTGAGCTCCGCCTTTGGACGCTCATTGGCCGGTCCAACGAACAACGGCTCCTTATTCTCATTGCTGTTCAAGAGGAAGGCAATATCAATATCATCTGGATCATCCTTCTTAATTTTGTCTCGTGAGGGCCAGAAGCCAGCCTAGAGTGAAGTTTTCGCAAACCCAAACCCGTAATACTCCTCGACTGTCTCGAGGAAAGTTTTCCAGTGTGAAAGAGCACTCTCCTTTGAGAAGCTAACATCATCTTTCATTCCCAACCACTCGTGTCGCTTGTTCTCCAACCACCCAACAAACGTCTTCACACCTTCAATTCCCGATTCGAAATCCGAATTCCTATCTTTAGTAGGCAGAGAAGCTGATGGCGAAACAGGTGATGGCACGAATGGCCATTCAGGTCCAGGATATGCTTTGTTTTCATCTCGTTTAAAGCAATATACTGGAGCAGACCATTCAGAAGAAGTGCAATACTCTTTCCACTGGAACACAGGATTGTCATCCTGCATATAAAACCTAAATGCATGTGGACGAGTATGACCGGTCAGTCTCTTGACCAGAAAGGGCTTAACAACAGCTCGCCAATCAACAATTTCATCAATGAATGTGCACGATGGACGTTCTTTTTTAGAACTGGCAACGAGCTTGAAGAGGTCGAGCATGGTATATGCATCGTGCATTTTCAGTTTGCGAGAGAAATGACTGAAAGTGGCATCAACGTCCGTATGTGTGTGTCCCACTAACATAAAACCGAATTCGACTTCTTTGAAGAAACCAAATTTCACCAAAGCTGCAGCGAGTGCCAAAACGTATCTGTTTTTGTTTTCACTCCAACAGTTGTCAGCTTGTATCCTCAGTTTAGGAGGCAAGTCGCTCGTCGCCTGGATGTCGCGGAGAACTTTCATAATGGATGACACTACAGCATTAGAATCATGTGGATAGCAAGGGTACCATGTGTGAACATGGACCGATGGTGAGCGGTCGTGTGCAATAATAGCTGTTAGATTCGTTTTCAACATCGGAATATTTGCGAATGCCTTCGATTTGTTCTCTCCGCCAAAGTGTGGAATGCTGGTCCTGCTTTGGTCCATGCCATCAATGATGATGCACAAACTGTTGGAACCCGGTCTCTTCGACTCATCCTTCCACACCTCATACGCAGCACGATGTTGGAGCTGCAAGTCCAAGTGTTTCTCGCGTAACGAAACAAAGTACTCACGCACACACACGAACTTTACAAAATTGATAGATTCTTTGTATTCAACACATTTCTCGCATTTCGCAAAATTTTGATCAATGTCCTGGAATTTCACATGCCAAAACTGCGTTCTCCACATGTTGTAAAAAACTTGGAGAGAAACACAAGGAGCACCCATGTTGTCGAATTGCGACTTTAGCAACTTATAAATATCAACCTTGTTATAGCAAGAAGGCAATCTCAACACCACTCTTGATTCCCCCTCTTTGGTCTTCATGTCATTGGGCATGGAATCTCCGTTGTCTCGCACGAAGGAGCTTAGTTTCCCGTACATCGTCGCATATGTTGCTGATGTGCGTCTGTCCAGTACTGCCATACTCCGGCATATTGTAGCCTTTTGAGAAAGTCATCCATTTTCTGAGAAATGTATTCCTACATATACCAGTGTGAAACACCAAGCAGTAATGCACACCTTTCGTCTCCCCACAATAGGTTGAACAATCTCATTTTCATCTTCTATGAAGGTGAACCTCTTCAACGTTTCAACCCACCACGCATCCCTGCTCTGCTGGTTCTTAGAGTAGTATGCGCTCCGGACAGCTTTGATGTCGTCCAGGGTCATTTGAGCGCAACACTCTCGCTTACAGCAAACCTGCCCACGCACACTCGCCAATGCTTTTTTGGTGAGTTCTCTATGAACTGATTGCAGAATCTTCTTTGACCGCGGCATTCTGAGACGAAAAGTACAAGGACGCTTCTCTGAGGACAGACGTTTTGGAAAAATGTCATCGAAATCAGAGATCACGTCACAATTCTCATCGTCATTTCGACAACAGTGGTCACTGTTCCGGTCAGCGTACGTTTGCGGAAGATCGGTTTTATCTGGAGAACTATCAACACTAGATGACACCGAAGCACTTAAATCTGAACCACCTTCATCACCCTTACCAAACAAAAGACCTGTGTACTCGAAATCTCGAAGTGAACTCCTCGGCACCCATACAACACGATCTACATCGGATACGTCGTTGTCAGTAGAGGAGGCCTTACCCTCCTAACCTTGAGCACTCTCTGCATCACAGGTTCGAACCGGGCATCGAAGGACGGGATACGAACTTTCACATGTAGTGTCTGCACATGTAATATTTCGTGACCTCTTACGAGCAGGAGATTCCGGAGCATTATCGACATGATCGTGACCACTTCGAACATCTTGTGAACACATTGGCAGGTGCGGTAGAGGAAAATCCTCATTGAGCATTGTATTAGACGCCACACAGTCCATGCTTTCCAAGGTTGTGCTGCAAGCCTGCCGTGGCATAGCATGCACACCACAAGCCATGCACGAGACGTGTCTGCGACAACAAAACAGCGGACCACTGTCAAAAGGCGAAAATCAGAGGTCAATGAAAAGGAGCAGACAACTATCCCTACACAACAGCGAGAAACACAACCCTACAAATGACCCTGAGAAACACAGTCCTACACTGGACGGAGGGGAACAGGAAACATCTGAGAGAGGATAACACACGACCGTGGAATCTGGGCAGCAATCCTGTCATCAAGCCGAATCCGTGCCAGAGGCGCAATACACTCGAAAGAGTCTGTCCAAGTCGGAGATCGATCGACAGTGGGAAGTGTAGCACATGTCGAGTCGGGGCACCAGCAACCAGAAACACAGCGTGCAACAACATTGAAAAGGCGGAGATCTTGACGCGCAACAGGAAACGCAGCACATGTCACGTCGGGCACCAGCTTCGGAAAGGCATAGACCACGACGAGCAAAACCCAGCGGGCACCAACAGCGGAACGACAAAGACTCTGACGCGCAGCACACAGCTTGGCACGAGGGCATTGATAGGAAAGATTCTATATTACTCCAGGAACTACAGCGACTGGACACGGGTGGTAAGCATGGTAATCACCACCCACGCAGAGCGGGCAGGAAAATTGCCACAAACGAGCAGGAATACCATCGTGGCAACGCGACCGTACCATCGTGGCAAAGCGACCGCCTCGCCCAACACGGAAGGGTCCCCCGTCTTGATTCCCGGCACGTGTGGTACTCACCACCCACGTAGAGCGGGCAGGAAAACTGCCACGAGTGAGCAGGAAAACCATCGTGGCAACGCGACCGCCTCGCCCAACACGGAAGGGTCCCCTGTCTTGATTCCCGGGTACCAGACTCCGAGGATTCGAAGCAAAATTCGCGCAGAGTTCGTTCTACAACGCACGACGGGTTCCTAGATAGCCAGGCTGAGAAGGCAAACGACTGCGGCGGCGCCAATGTCGCGCCCAACATGACAGGAGCTCCATTGTATATTACAAGGTGGGGGTCGTGGCGCAATCTCGCAACAAGCAGTCAGTGCTACAAGAGACAAAAGGCAGTCACCCGGGCACTATGTTCTGCTGGCGCAACTCGCACTAAACTCTGCGCAAGTCGAAACATAGGTGGGGGTCGTGGCGAAAAAGAGCAGGGTGTTCGACACGACCATGATGGCGTTCGACACGACCAAGACCGCGTTTGACCGTGGCGGACATGACGACCAGCGTGCTCGACATGACGGCCACCGTGTAAGACCCGACGACCATCGTGCCGGACACGACGACCGTCGTCGACGATCGTGTCGGACACGAAGACGGTTGTGCTCGATACGATGGCTGTCGTGCTCGATACGATGGCGGTCGTGTTCGACACGATGGCGATCGTGTTCGACACGACGACGATCGTGTTCGACACGACAACCAGCGTGTTTGACACGACAAGGATCGTGTTCGACACAACAACGATCCTGTTCAACACGACGACCATCGTGTTTGACACGACGACCAGCGTGTCGGACACGGCAACGATCGTGTTCAACACGACGACCATCGTGTTTGACACGATGACCAGCGTGTCGGACACGACAACGATCGTGTTCAACACGACGACCATCGTGNACGATCGTGTTCAACACGACGACCATCGTGTTTGACACGATGACCAGCGTGTCGGACACGACAACGATCGTGTTCAACACGACGACCATCGTGTATGACGATCGTGTTTCACACGACGACCAGCATGTTGGACACGACAACGATCGTGCTCAACACGACAACCGTCGTGTTTGACACGACGACCAGTGTGTCAGACACGACAACGATCGTGTTCAACACGACGACCATCGTGTTCGACACGACGACGACCGTGTCGATCATCGTGTTCGACACGACGACGATCGTGTCGACGATCGTGTTTGACACGATGACAACTGGGGTGAAATTGTTCGAGAAAAGTTGTTGACGTCACCCATAAACCAGCACTGGACACGGAGCCGTTTCTCTTTCTCTCTCGGGGTGGAGGGGGGGGGGGGGAGCGTGTTGGCCGAAGCGACACTAACCTGGAGAGCGGGGCAGTTGTCGTGTTGACGTTGGCGGACGGCTGCGCTGATTCTCCCAGAACGCGAACGATAACACAATGTCGCGGGAACTCATGTGCGGGAATCGCATTTTTGCTCTGTAGTTGAACGTCATCCCCGCGCCTCCGCTCCGGCCAAGGGGGGAAAACGATCGCGGCCGACTGCAGGCATTGGATCGCCCTGACCATCCGTATTCCCAGATCGGACCGTCCGTATTCCCGGATCGGACGGCCAGCAAGCGCGTGCGGAGGGCCCACCCGGAAAACCACTTATATGAGGCAGGCCCACCACTCCCCATCGGAAAATCCCGACCGTCAGTATTTCCGGATCGGACGGCCAGCAGGTGCTCGCGAAGGGCCCTCCTGAAAAACTATATATATGAGGGAGGGCCACCAGTTCCCATTTTCGTTTCAGTTCGGCAAGGCGGGAGTACAGCAGCGCAGCGGAGGTTCGTCGACACAGCGCAGTGGAGGCTCGTGCCACAGCGCAGCACAGTGGAGGCTCGTGTACAGCGCGACAACAGAGCGCAGGGATTCGGTCCATGCATAGTCGACCACCTGCTCGACGCGACGGTGGACCACAGCGCTGTCGAGAGGCGTGTTCAGCGCGACGACGTAGCGAGCATACGGCCCGAGATCGCGGCGCACAACCACAGCGGAGCACCCCGAGTTTGAAGGATCGTACGGTGAGGACACAACCGCGCAGCCCAGATTCAACCACGTAACGCCACGTGGCACTTCCGATCGTCGAGTCGAACACGATGGTGCCCCATCGTCGAGTCGAACACGATCGCGCCCGATCGTCGAGTCCAATACGATCGTCTTCGATCGTTATGTCGAACACGATCGTGCCCGATCGTCGAGTCGAACACGACAGTGCCCGACACGAACACGATCGTGCCCGATCGTCGAGTCGAACACGACAGTGCCCGACACGAACACGATCGTGCCCGATGTCTGATTGTCGAGTCGAACACGACAGTTGAGTCGAACACGCTCGTCGAGTCGAACACGACACTGCCCGATCGTCGAGTCGAACACGATAGTCGACCCGGACACGATCGTCAAGTCGAACATGATACTGCCCAATCGTCGAGTCGAACACGATAGTTGAGCCGAACACGACACTGCCCGATCGTCGAGTCGAACACGATAACCTAAAATTCTCGTACCAATAAGCAAACCATTATTGATTAAAACAACAGCATTTCTATCAAATTGTAAATAACTGCCATCTTTTCGGTATTTGGTGGCTTTTTTTGTTTCCACTACAATAGCTTTAAGCACATTCTGAGTGTTGCGACCCATTCGTGCTTGTTTCAAAGACACTATTATAGTATCACCTATAATAGCTCTTTGTTTTTTGAAAGGATGCAGGATTTTGATACACTGTACGATTTTTGCACCTAAATTATCAGACACCTGTAAATATGTTCCAACAGTAATCACACTCTTCGAGCCTTTTTTTTTTACTACTGTTTATTTGTTTTTGTGTTTTGCATTGATGGATTCTGAGCTAATTACGACCATTGAACAAACTTGGTGGACAAACACAATTTATGTGAAGCTAAAGTAGCAGCTGCTTGAGCATTTGACAAACTAACACCATCCATTTCAAAAATAATTTGTGCGAGTCGAACACGACACTGCCCGATCGTCGATTCGAACACGATAGTCGAGTCAAACACGACACTGCCCGATCGTCGATTCGAACACGATCGTCGAGTCGAACACGATCGTCGAGTCGAACACGATCGTCGAGTCGAACACGATTGTCGATTGCGTTCGTCGAGTCGAACACATTCGTCGAGTCGGACACGATCGTCGAGTCGAACACGATTGTCGAGTCGAACACGTTCGTCGAGTCGAACACGACCGTCGAGTCGAACACGACCGTCAAGTCGGACACGACCGTCGAGTCGAACACGATCGTCGAGTCGAACACGATCGTCGACTGCGTTTGTCGAGTCGAACACGTTCGTCGAGTGCCCTGTCGTCGAGTCGAACACGATCATCGAGTCTAGCACGATAGTCGAGTCGAACACGATAGTCGAGTCGAACACGATCGTCGAGTCGGACACGATTGTCGAATCAAACACGATCGTCGTGTCGAACACGATAGGCGAGTGCCCTGTCGTTGAGTCGAACACGATCCTTCCCTGTCCTCTAGTGGAACGAGAATGTGCGAGGTGCAATGTCATCGAATCATTCATGATCGTGTGCAGTGCTATGGACCGTGCATGGGCGTGGATTGCGCTCATAGATTCTGTGCATTGTGCTGTCGTGGGGCCTGGTCTGTTCCATTGTTGGTGGGAGCGGGGTGAATAGTTCTATGCTGCTGTTGGTTGTTCTATTGCTGCTGTTGACCGTTGCCCTTGTGCCGTGCAGGGCGTCTTCTCTTCACTGTTGCTATGAAGATCTCTAATATGACCCCAACACTTTGGCGTGCACGCAAGGCACACCCTTTCCCACCTTGCGCGTTGTACGTCCGACAATGTCAGGGTAGCTTAACCTATGAAGGCGCTTGTCCAGAAGACTTCGAATGCGACCCTTGGATGAGAATCCTCCCGTTTGGCGACAAACATTTTGACTCGTGGGAGGAGTGCGAGTGGGTGAACATGATGGAGAGATGCCCGTGGGCGTGCGATTATGAGTTCGCGAATATGTCCGAATTCGGCAAACGCATTCCCGTGTCGTTCGATGTGCTGCGTCCCATGCGCTTGCCGCTACTGTGTAAAAAACTAAAAATAACCTCGCCTCGCACCTGGTGCCGTGTTATGAAACAGGAGTTACTCGATTGTGCGCGACATTCACAGTTCCTCGATCATTATCCGTTGCGATCTCCCGGTCTGTCGCCAGGAGCAGTTTCGTATTGTTGTGTGAGATTGCGTCTGGCATACTTTATCTTCTGTAGGGTCCTCTGTATTGCCGTTTCGAGCAGGGCAAGAAACTTGACCGATGTTGTCGTGTATGTGTCCAGGAACGTGTTGTCTATGTCAGGGAGGAATATGTGTTTAGTTCAAAGAAGGGTAGATGGGAGATTGGATATCGTGGTGGGTGGCGCGAGGTCGAGGCTAAAGTCGTTTCAATTCGGGATGCTATAGGCGCTTCTCTCGTCGGGAACTCCGGGTTCGTGCGAATGATATACATTTCGGTGTTTGCTGAGATGGCGCAGCAGCTGACCTTCGGATCGCCAATTAGTGTGTTGAATGGCCGCAACGGCGAGATTGTTCCCCGTAGTCGGTAGATAGCCTTCGTCGTACTGGATGGCCAAAACGACATACTGAATGGCCGAAATGGCCGCAACGGCGAGATTGTTTCCCGTAGTTGATAGACTGCCTCGTGGAATTCGCATTGCGATTGCTGTTCTCAATGTGTTATTTCGATAACAATACGCGGTATCTGCTGGTTGTTCTCGATTGCTGTTCTCAATGTGTTATTCGATAACAATACACGGTATCTGCTAGTTGTTCTCGTCATGTGTTCAGTGGCCAAAAGTACACACGTTTGACGTTGTTGTCCTCATATTGTTTTTCGATTCATTGAAACCCGGGAATGATGACACGTGTTTTTGGTTTGGCTTTGGACACCGACACATCGCTGCCAACCGAGTGTTTGATTGTTGTTCTCATGTTGTGTTTTCTTTCGGAAAATAAAAACTCATTGTTCTGATGTTTTGCATCCACAAACATTCAGCAGTCAATGTTTCTCCGTGTTAACCAGTGCCTGCGATCTGTTGTCTTGTGTTCTCGTGATCAAGTGCCCCTTTAGGCACCGTCCGCCGACCATTGTGTTGAACCCGACAAATGTCGCACAACACACCCCAATGTCGCTGTCGTGTTCGACACGATGGTCGACAGACGGTGCCCGAAGGGGCACTTGGTCGACTATCGAACGATGGACGACAGTGTCGTGTCGTGTCGAACACGACGGTCAGCTCCCCTACAGGCACCGTTTGGCGACCATCGTGTCGAACACGACATGGACACTGTTATCTGGCGACCAGACGGTGCATGAAGGGCCACTTGGTCGACTGTCCCACGACAGACAACAGTGTAGCTGTCGTGTCCGACACGACGTTTGGTCAGCCCGCGCAGTGCCGTCGGGTTCGACACGACAATGACACGACGACACCGCAATGTCGCTCTCGTGTCGGATTCGAGACGGTGCCCGAAGGGGCACTTGGTCGACTGTCGAACGGCGGACGACAGTGTCGCTGTCGTGTCGAACACGACGGTCAGCTCCCCTACAGGCACCGTTTGGCGACCATCGTGTCGAACACGACATGGATACTGTTATCTGGCGACCAGACGGTGCATGAAGGGCCGCTTGGTCGACTGTCGCACAGCAGACGACAATGTAGCTGTCGTGTCCAACACGACAGTTGGTCAGCCCGCGCAGTGTCGTCGGGTTCGACACGACAGTGACACGACGACACCGCAAGGTCGCTCTCGTGTTGGATTCGACGGTACTGGAGGACGTCGTGGCACGACCGTCAAGTTCGACACGACAGTGAAACGACGATGAGCTGGCGGGCTGCGGCCCGCTTCAGTTGCTTTGTGTTTCTGTCTACTCTTGTTCTCAAGTGCTGTGGTGTTTGCACGTTGGCAAAGCAATGACTGCTTTCTTGCTTGTGCGTTTTCTTCAGTTGCGACTAGCTGCTCGGCATGGATCGTGAGGGGAAGCCAAGCAAACGACGTACTAGTGCTGGTTCCGGGAGCATGGAGCAATCTCCAAAAAAATCGAAGGGGACACCGACGGCTGGCGTGGGGGCTGGCGACACACCGGGGTCTAAGGGTCACCGAACCCCGGTGCTGCGGGGTGCACCTTCTACGGGCACTCCTTCCACCCATGTTCGAGGTTCGGGACCGGATTCGGCTATGCTGATGAGTGGTGGGGCTGCCGGTCGAGAAGAGGAGGCTACTGGTCGGCAGGGGAAATCTGCGATGGACGTTGTGCCGAGGCGTAAAAGGTCTGGTGACACGTCCGCTGCAGGTGTGGGAGACGAGGTGCCTGTCGTCGACCACAAAGACAAGTGTTGGATGTTGGACTGGGTGGGTGGAATCGGGGAACGCTCGGGTGGGCTGGTTTTGTACGTGGTGATAAAAGACAACATTGTTCCGATTGGCGGTGTGGTTAAGTGGAGTGGAGAAAAATCACCGTCGTCCATGTTGGAGTTGACGATGGTCCTTAACGCTAGAGATGAGTGGATGGCGGGTGTCAAACGCGTTGCTCTTCGTTGGGCCAAACACGCTGGATACGGCAAGAGGCTTTATGACATTTTCAATCCGCCTAGGACGGAGAAATTGACGTTGCCGGACCTTCGATCGGTTTTCGCATTCTTCGACAGACATGTGGTCGCAGGGCATGAGCCGGTGGTGCATGCTTCCGACCGCATATCTGAACCGAAAAGCGTGCTTTCGTCGTCTTTGGAGGCGGCTCCGTCGTCGAAACCGATCATTATAGGTGCCCACCCTCCGCCATCAATTCGGACTACGGTTGCTGCAACACGAGTTCCGAAATCAGGGCAGATCGGGGAGAAAGGTCCGTGTCGAGGCCAAATCGTGCCGTCAGCCCCTGTGAAGCGTAAGCCAACATCAACCAAGGAACCCGTTTCCTTGGTCCGCCCGCCGCGCTATGAGTTGGACATTCCTGCTGGGTCGCATTATTTTGGAGATGACGACGAGGAGAACAGCGAAGAAGAATGGGAGCGCGATGAAGAACGCGAAGAATGTGAGGAGGGTGACGAAGAAAAGGAAGTAGAGAGTGAACACACAATCAGCAAGAGGGGTGGGCCGGGCGAGTTTGAGGGTCGTCTAGGGGTTGAGTATGAGGACGAAGGGCAAGAAGAGGAAACGACCGGCGAGGGAGGGTATGCAGATGTGCATCGGGGTTCCAAACGAACGCAGCTACTCGCGCCGAGTCATGGGCATTGGGAAGCGGATCCAGGGCACGGGGAAATGCACCGCGAAGTTGGGGTCGAGCCGGCGCATGCCGATGCAGTACGACTAGCTGAGAAGAAAAGGAAAATGAAGCAAGAGAGGAGAAGTGCTATGGACAGTAAGAAAACCAAGCAGGAGGGGGGAGCCAAGCAAGAGGAGGGCAAACACAAGTTGAAAATGCTGGCAGTTGAGGAGACCGTCCAATGTACGTGGGAGGTTGAGGAGGTAATGAAGAAAAAACGACAGCCAAGGAAAAAAACAGCGAAGGGAGGTGTGATGGAAAAAACTTCCGTTTTTTCGCCGGACCAGCCACAGTCGGATGAAGACGCTGTGGGCAAGACAGTCACCAGACCGCCCGGTTTGCAGATTCTGCCGCATGGGAATTCTTCTGGTCATCTGAGCAAAGGCTTCTTCCTTGAGTTCGGCGAGAATGGTAACCAGAGGCCGGAAATGCAGTTCATTACTGTCAAGTTGGACATGATTCTGGATATCCCTGATGAGGAATTCAGATATAATCAACGCTTCCTCGATCAGGAGCTTATTGACGACCTTTACAAAACAATGGTTGAGTCGGGTGAGGCAGCTATCCGAGAGAGAATGACCGGGGCAGCCGGGGTGAATGTATGTGCATTGTACGAGAAGCATGTCCTTCTGTTGATTGGGCTACATGATACAATGCATACTGACGCTTCCGGTACGAATGTGAGGGCGAGAAGAGTGACGCCCCACGAATTCGATCTCCAATCCGTGCGCAAGTACTACTGGTACCCTCTCAGTGGTCAACACAATGTTGCGGCGGCGAGGAAATGTTCTCAAGAATGCCCTAACATCGCCCGTGAGCTCCGTTTGGATTGCTGGACTGTAAGGCCTATTTACTATCCGGATAGGAGCATGGAAAATTATTGCACCTTGAGCACTTTCCAAAATGCGAAGGACAAATGGAATACTCCTTCGCACCAGATTGCTATCATCAGGGTTGTCACGCGGGGATCCCCGGGGCCCAAGCCGGGGTACGGGTTTCACCCTCGGACCCCCGCCCCCGCCAACACACCC